TGGGGGTCTTTAAGAGGAGGCTTGATGCCTACCTAGCTGGAGTCATCTGAGCCCAGTTTTTCTCCTGCTCAGGCAGGGGGTCAGACTTGAAGATCTACAAGGTCCCTTCCGACCCGACTTCTGTGATTCTATGATTCTATGATACTGCCCTCAGCCTTCTACCAAATACACCGTCACATTCTCCTTTTCCTTGTCATCTGCCTAACTTATAGCCCCACAACCTGTTACCTTGCTCCACGCCTGGCCTCACAACAGAAACAAAACTATTTCTGTGAGTGAATTAAATAAAAAGTATAAGCTATAATGCTGATGTTTCTAAGTATAATGCTGTTGTTTCTTTTAGTGCACTCCCTTCATTTTCCATCTTCATATTTTTCTCATCCCTATTCCCTTTCCCCTGGCTGTTATATCTGCATTGCTCTTCTCTTTTTTCTGAGGTGAAGAAATCTCTGTGATGCTGGCTTTATTTCCTTCTTGTCTTTCACTTGCAGATAGCAAAAGAGAGAGAAGGAAGGACAGCAAAAGATGGAAGAAGAACTGAAAGGGCTAAAAGAAAGAGAGAGGCAATGAAGGGAACAGGCTCTCAGTTTTCTCTGTTGCCCACATAGCAATTGTGTTGTGGTTGGAAAGATGATCTGTGGGGAGCTAGGTTTCTGAGGCAGCTGGAAGAGCTGTCCGATGGCACACGAAGCCTGGAAAGTCCTAAGGCAGTTGGGAAGGTTGGGGCCGAAAGTCCTGTGGCAGTTGGGAGTGACAGTTGTGCTGCTAAGTGAGGAAGGTGTTTGAGAGGCTCCAACACCAGCAGTCTCATTTCCATCTTCCAAGTTGATCCACAGCCCCTTGAAACTTGGCTCATCAGGCATAACATAGCCTCAACCATCCTCATTTCAGGTATCACCTTGCCCCTCCCCAAACTAGTACTCTGATTTAGTGAACCAGAGAGGGGAGTGTGACAGGGTGCCTCTCCAGGGCTGGCCATGAGGCCCCCGGACTCCTGTCAGCCCTCACTTACCGTGACCAATTACCCCTTCAGTTGCCCATCACATCTTGATGTCTTTTTTTTTCTTTTTGTATGAGGGAGGTTACCCCAGGGCTTCCCAAATTGCTCTCTCAAATGACCACCAGGTGCATTGTGGTCACTGCCTTATGGACTAATTGCATGGCTCCGTTCCTTCCCTACACCATGCCCCATGCCTTGCAGATAGCATCTTCATTGATGTTCTCTTCGACTTATCCCCTCTTCTGGGGTTGTTCCTGGGTCCTCTCTGGTCCCACACTCACAGCTCCTCAATCTGGGCTCTGGGCCCCTCCCTGAGTCCATAGGAACCTCCTCCTCTTCCCCTTAATTCCTCCCCAAACCTCCAGACTGCTTTCGGTATTATTCTCCATGTTGACCTTCTGCAGCTGCAGCCATCCTGCAGAGGTGGTGTTCTCTCAGCAGGATCCAAGATGTTACTGCTGGCTCATCTCAGGGTCTGAGTTTATATTCAACCCTCCCTCCTGGGTCAGATGACTGCAGTCAGCCCAGGCTGCCCCTGCAAGCTACTTCAGTCCCAGCCTGCCTACTCTTAAACTGTCAGGAGCACTAAGCCTCCCACCTCAGGGAGTATGGCCTTGTAGAGCTTCTAGGACAGGAGTGGACACAATGGCAGATCCGGCCAGCGGCCAGACTCCATTTCCCAGCAGCCCCTCCCCGCGTCGCTGCACCAGTTTCCATGGAGGTCACGGCAGCACTGCCGTGGGGCTAGGGTTTCCATGGAGATTGGCCCCAGCAACACTGGCAGGGTGCATGATAGGGTGGGGAGCTACTCCATTGCTGGGGCTAGGATCTTGCAGTGGTGACAGAATGGTCTGGAGCTGGGACCGAGCCATGATCTGCTGTCTGCATGCCTCTGCCCAGGGCATGTGGGCAGTGGATTGCCCCAGCTGTGGACCACACTGTCACCACTCCAAGATCCCAGCCCTGGAGCAGCTCTCCGCCCAGCCAGGTGCCCTTCCAGTGCTGCTGGGGCTGGTCTCCATGGAAACCCTGGCCCTGTACAGTCATGGCACCGCCACGGCCAGGGTCTCCATGGAAACTGGCTGCAGTGACGCAGGCAGGCACTGCTGGGAAATGGAGTCCACTACAGGCCTGATCTGGCTCATGGGCCAGTCTTTGCCTGCCCCTATTCTAGGAGACATTTTAGCCAACAAAGCCATAATTCCTCCTGGGAATGCCATTTACAGGTGGCCCCTACACATCCATCTCAATATTGGCCACGGCTTAAAAAACATATAATCTATCCTCTAGTGTTACAGAATTACCTGCAAGTTGCATCACTTTTTATATACCATTAGGGGATAAGCAAAAGAACAGATGTGGCTCCAGCATTTCAGTGAAACAAATAGAATTTGAGAGTGCTATTTTCATTACACCTTGATTGCTTGCCCATGGTGGAGACACTGCTGTTATTACTCCAACGGTTGGCAGTAATAACTCGCAGAATTCAGAGCTGCTGCAAAAGACTTGTTGAAACTGGCCTTCAAACTAAGTGACGGTACCTTAAATTTCTGAGCAGATAACTATCATATGGAGCTACTGAGCTGGGAATAACAAAGTGAAAGAAAGTCAAAGAATATACTAATGGAATCCCTGATGATAAATCACCTGAATTGTTCTTTCTGACCATTGGGTTAGGCAATCAAACTGAATCCAATATCAGACTATTATTACTTCTGGGTGATAGGATTCCTGAAGCTAGTTTACCTTCGCTTCATTAGAGGAACTGTGCCCATGGCAGGGGGAGCCCAGGGGCCCAGGGGCCCAGGGGGCCCTGTAGACGTGCTTGGAGGCTGGTCTGAGACACTGGAATTACAGTGTGTCAGAAAAGATTTGATGAATCGAGTCTGCTGGAGCATGCTAATTGGTGTACTCTAGCCAGACTCCATGTTCCATGTATCAGCCTCCCTGCACTTCAAAACGATGGCGGGGGCGCTTTAACTAAACCTCTCTGATGAGCTTTAGTTAAAGCCCCCCTGTTGCCATTTTGATGTGTGGGGATGCTGACGCATGAGATGCTGCGGGCACTTTAATCAGAGTAGCTCTCAGAGCCACGCTAATTAAAGCGTCCCCTTTCTCACCCTGGAGCACATGTAAAAACGCCCGTGCATTGTGCATTTAGATGGCAGGGCTTAGAAGTCTGAAGAAAAATTAAGAACTAAGCTCCCTTTTCTTCTTTTCCATCATGCAACTATCAGTGCCTATTTGACAAGGTGTTGTATTTCTGCTTACACTTCACACACTTGCTATCAGGTAGCCTTGTAATATTTAAAAGCCAGGCCCCTAATCTAGGCTGGTGTTTCCAAAAGCTTTATACGACTCTCTTGGTGGCCTTCTCTGCATATTTTTGATCTCTGATCAAATACAAAATAGACCCATGTAATGAACAATGACATTCTTATGGAGGAATTAAACAGAAATAGTTTCAATATAGCTAATATTTTCTAAAGACCTCAACATCCAGACCAGGACTGTTTAACTTTAAAGTGGCTGGGAGGCTGCATGTTGTGGGGGCCTGAGGCTAGAACCATGTTGCATGGTTCCCCCCTCCCCCTGCTGCACCCGATATGGGAGTCCTGGTGTCAGCTTCAGCTCCCTGGCTGCAGGCCCCCTCGCTGCATCATGCTGCACAGGTATCCCCTGGCATGTGGGTTGCACCACGCTGTGCTGCCCTGCCTCCTTACAGGGAGGTGGGTAGGATGTTGAAGCCAGAGGAGGGAAGGGAAGGCCTGAGATCCTGTTGCAGCCAGAGTGATGGGGGCAGCAGCAGCTAAGTGGGAGCCCAGGGGGCCACACGTTAAGCTCTCATGGCCCAAATATAGCTCACGGCCCACTGGTTGTACAGTCCTGACCATGTGTTTCCAGTACTTCAGATTTCTACCACTAGCACTGAGGCCATGACTGCATATTCCCCATGTCTTATGAATCCTACCATGTTATCTTTTTCTTTCAGGCCCTATCCTTTTGAGATGCTAACACTGTTGAAAGGAAAGGAAATAAAAAGTATTCAGCACCTCCCCAGATAATACTTTTATCAATAAATTTGGATTGTAGCTACTACTTTTTCCCATTTATTTTTACTTCCTCTAACCCAATATTAAAACCTCACACATTCTCTGAGCCCTGGATTCTCCCAAGCTATAAGGGATTCTGGTTCATAATTGATGGTTTAATTGTAACAGGACTGGACAGAGCTCCGGAGACCTGGATGCATTCATGACTTGACCCCAGTGATGGAGAGCTGGATAAGCTAGCAATTCCTCCATCTCTAATTGCATGTTTTAAATATGTTCCTATGCTTAATTATTCTTTCTTTCCCATTTCTTTTATTAGATCCACAAGCAAAGAGCCAGAAGTGTCTCATGCTCTATGCAATTTCACTGGCATGGACTCTGTCACTGATGGCAGACACTGAAAAATTGAGGATGCCTGAGGTTGGCCTGGAGGAGCAAAGTATGTCTATTTATGAAATTTGCAACAGAATCCTTTGTTTTCCTTGTAGCCTTCTCATCTTCTCTCCCACAAGGGATAAAATACGAACAACAGAAATATGCAAGTTGTGACTCTACCCAATTAATCCTCACCATTTCCAAACTACTTGGCAGCAGCCTGTTCTCCTTCATTACAACACCATTCAAAATCACCGAGCAAACAATATTACAGTCAGAATGCTAAACCTCTTATTAATCTCCAGATTATTAATTATTGCAAGAAGTTGATCTTGTGTTTGAAACCCACCTGGGACTATCCAAACTAATCTCATGTAACGAGGTACACTTTTGTAAGTTAAAAAGTATCCTGCTGAATGGAAGGATACAGTCTGAGTGCTCAGAAAGGCTGTGGATTTTGAGTGAAGGGATATTTTAAATGCAAATATAAAATGTTGGTTCTTGGCATGGGATTGTCTTGAGAGTATACAGGGATTGTACAGCTAAATTCTGCTGATGAGGATGGGTCCTCAGAGTATGTAAACTTAGACCCTTGGGGTCCTAGTATCAGGATATATCTTGAGGCCTCTGGATCCTGGGAACTAATATGTTCTAAATGAATGCAATGATTAGATTTCTTTTTTCCATATTCTACATGGGAGGATTTGTCTTGAGAGGTTGTAGGAATTACATATTTAGAGTTTGAGAATGGGCACATTCTGAAAACAGGACTGTGTCCTGTGAGAATACAGATAGCTTTAGGCCTCTGCTTTCTAAGTACAGGAGCGTTTCAGCACTAAGTAGAACTGTTGGTTCAGGCTTATGCTTTGTTCAGACTTCTACATCATAAAAACAATCACTGGGTAATAAAATGAGAAACATTAAGTGAAAAAACAACATAGCAAAAGACACAAAATATACAAAAACAAGCCAAGGAAAATGGAGCTCCCTGAGAATGGAACCCATTGCATTTGCTGCCAAACTGCCCCCATTTTTTCTGCAGTGTTTTTAAAATGACTTTTCATGTGGTGATGCAGAGCCAAATATCTCTATGGGTAATGTACAGCTCCCCAAACTAGTAGGAAATTAGCAGAGCTTAATAAAATTCATGCATGGCTTGCTATTGCAGTTCCATATCTAAAGGGAAAACAGATGTTCTCTTTAGTTATTCTCTTCAGGTCCAAATGAGGACTCTGTTAGTTACTGTTGTTTTAAAAAGCCTAGTTCTAAAAAGGTTACAAATGACGCAATTTTTAATATTCTGCTGCAGAGCTATCAGCTAAACTGAATTTGTGGAGGTGATGCTTGCAGTTACCTGCTTACCAGCCACATGTTTCTAAACACCTGCATTAAGAATGGATAAATAAAACACTGCCCTCAGTATTAACAAGAGATCAGGGGCTGATTTAGTAGAGGTCTGATGTTCCCAGGTCTGGTGCTCAGTTTAGCCATCCATATACTGTACCTAATTTATATGTACTGTACTGAAGTTAATTTCGGAGAATGGGGAGGAGTGATCGCAGCTTGGAGCTTGGTGGTATTTGAGCTTTTACTAGAGGAGAGGAGAAATGTACTAGTGGAGGCCCACAGAATTTGGCACTGAAAACTGTTGATTGACAGTCTTTTGTCTTTCTGCATTTTACACAACTATTTTAAAGTGATGTAAAAACATTGGTACTTTCAGTAAGTGATTGCCATTTGAAAGAAATTGTCGCTGCCAATCTGTGTGCATGCATCCACACAAAAAATCTAATGTATCCTTCACTTTATAAATGAACATCTGTCACAGGATCAACAGTGCTTTTGGGGGCAGGGAAGGCACTGCCTCTAGCCTCCCCCAAAAGCAGCCTTATTCAATCTCCCTGTCCTGACATGACCCTCTGAAGCCAGCCCTGGTGTAGCTTCAAAAGGCACAAGCCTCTGGCTTGGAGATGTGGCTCTTGTCAAATGATCCCTGGCTTCCCTGGTAATCTGTAGCACCCGTACCTCTGAGATCCATCTTTTTGGTGGGGTGAGGAAGAGGGGCTGTTTGCTTCTGCAAAGAGGAAGCGTCAGAGTGCCAATATCCCAAACAGCACAGCAGACTCTGCTTCAAAAAAAAAAAAAGGTCTTTATTCTGCCACTCCAGTTCCCTCTGTCCTCCCTGAGACCTTCTCTCTCAGCCAGCTAGCTCTCTCATCCTCACTCCTGCCCTCAGGCCCCAGACAGCCCTGCTTGCAACAAACCAGTTACCAAACTTAGTCTTAACCTAGGGACAACACTCACTGAATACAATGAGACAATATCATGGGGAACTAATCAGGGAGCAGTCTCTGCGCTCTGGTACCAGGCCCAGATGGCCATCTCCTCTGGGGTGAAAAGAGCATGTAGAGGTTTGCTTATGAGACGACTTACACCAACTATGTATGTCACCATTGCCACCCCTCAAGTGTTCCCCACAAGAACGACAGGCTGGAACTCAGCCCGCTCCACCCGCCTTGTCACATCTAACACAGATTTCTTTTGAGTCTGAGTGCCTGTTTGGCGCTGCAAGATGTTTACTCATTGCCCCTTGATGAGATGATCACAAGCCTCCCGCAGTCTTCTTCAGCTATTGGGTTGACATTAATGTGAAAAGGAGACTTGTCAACAGAAACACATTTAAAAAAAGACGTGAGAGCAGTACTTAAATGTCCCTTGATTTTTACTTCAAGTACTGACCTGGATCAACCCTGCTTAGCTTGCGATCATTGATGGGATAACAGATAATCTGAAAAGATAGACAATCACATGAAGTGACTACCAGCTAATTTGGGAATTATTGGTCTCTGTTGGCAGTAAAGAGGTTTGTACAATTTAAAGAAATGTAAAATCTGGACAGCAGGCAAGCAGAGGAGAGCTGGCAGGAACCTAACTAGATGACTGATCAGCATTTTATTGAGACGGTGTTTTGAGTCCACCAAGAGGAGATTAAGTATCCTGTCCCCTTAATGTAGAAAGGGAGAAATAAATCAGGCTTTACCGCAAGCAGGGTGGCAGGGAGTTAATTAGGAATGGAAAAATATGTTTCAGTTTACAAAGGAAAAGAAATGAATGAGAGAAGGAACTGGAATATGCAGAAAACAGGTTGGAGAGCACCTGGGGAACAGAGACTGAGGATCTGGCAAGCAGCTTGGAGCTACTGTAACAGCAGGAGCCTGCAACCCCCATGGAGCCCACACAACAGGTGCTGCAGCCACACAGTTAAGAACTGAAACCCAGTAGCCAAGTGCAATTGCTCTGTATTGCCACATGGAAGCCAAAGTTACCCCCTTTCCTCTCATCTTGAATTCTCACCGGAAGCAAAGATGGTGAAAAATCACACTAAAACCAACCAGCTTTGGGTTTCACCTAAAATAATTAAAAAATAAAGAACTGCAAAAAGAAGATAAAGTTTTGCTTGGGGATACACTCATTCCACCAAAATATGAGCACGTTAAGCTGTGTTCTAAGCAAAGTGAACGCATTGCTTCATACCTCTCAGTCGTTAGCCCCTGGTTTTAACCAAAATTACAAATATTTTCCTACCAAAACCAGAGAACTAAGTTCATTATATACTGCTTAGTGGCAGGGGCTGTCAGCATTAGAGAGGCAGCACAAGAAGCATACTGTTCATCACTGAACAGTAAAGGCCAATTAATGAATGGTCGTTGACACTATGCTGATTTATACCAGCTGAAGAGTTGCCCTGTCTATATACATCCATCTAGTGCTACAGGAGCCCACGTGTGGATTAAAGAGGGCTAGTCAGCTTTTTGTGCTCATACCATCTTGTGGTTGACTTACCAGAAAGGCTATAAACCCTACTACTACCCACCTAACTAATGAAGCTTTTCTTTTGCCTCACCTGCCTTTCTTGGCAACATGTATGAAAGGTAACTAGTGACTGTTGTGTCCCCATGGGTGCTGACAGATGTGCAGCTCCCTGTTTTAACTCATGGCACTTCACAAAAAATGCAGTGAATTAGAGCGACCCTTCCCTTGCCTGACCCTCCAGATGTTCGCTCCACTTCGGAGCCAATCCAGTGGAGGGAGAGGAAGCTGGTAGGGGGGCCTTGAGCCAGGGTATCCCAATCTACCCTCCTCCCCTCCAGCTCAGGCTGGGCAAACCCCAACCCACAGCACCCTCCCCCTCTCCTATCCTCCTTCCTTCCTGCACAGGTATTGACTGAAGTTACCTAAGGCGCTTCACTTTGGAGTGCCTTCATCTGATCCTTCATTAGATGAGGGTTAATTTGGCACACAGTCAGCCACTTCTAAAGTTCTCTGCAGCAATGCAAGTGTGTCATAGGATGGCTACAGAGCATTTTCAAGGGGCTGATTGCACAACAAATATCACTTCTGTCAGTGCCCTGCCGGTCATGCAGTGCTATCACTCAATAGTGCAGGCGCACAATGAGAGAGAAAATCTAGGTCAGTGATTCTCCACCAGGGTGTTGCAAGATCCTTTTAAGAGTGGATCACAGTATTTACAAATTACTCTAAAAACAACTATACATGATTCCCAAGATAAACCCAGAGGTATCACATAAGAATCTACTGTGTCAAAAACATTTTGACCTGTCATGGGCTTTCTGAGTTCTTTGCAACAGAATTGCTCTATTATTTTATCTGTAGTCAAGAAGTGGAAGTAAGATAGGAGCTGGTATTTTCCAAAGAATACCTTGAGTCTAACAAGGGGGCCCTTAAATCTAAAAAGGTTGAGAAACACTGGACTAGGTTTACCTCCTCCTCTGTTACTGCAGATCTGGGTGGAAATTAGTATCTAGTAGTACAGTAAGAGAGCACAAGTGCAACTGTGGGTGGAAAGGAGCATGAGGGAGGCAAGACTGCAGCTGTGCAGTGATTTTTATTTAGACCTTTAATATATACCCCATGTCATTTTGATCTTGTTGTTTGCTTGTAGCATTGTGCTAACAATTCCATGAATCCAAAGGCATTTCAGCTTCTGACATAAAGCAGGAGAACAATGCACCGTTCCTGTAAAACAACAGGGCTCCCCCCTGCTGCTGTCAGAATGCAGGGATTAGATGCAGAATAATGCAGTCCCTGATCAAACCCCCAGCTGTAATTCAACCTCTGGACACTGCCAACGCTATAAATTCGTGGGGAAAGTGCAGCTCAAGCAGTTTGTGAACAAGAGCTAGTGAGTCCAATTGAATTACAGCTGCGGGAGGCAGTTGGGATCCCCCAGCACAGCATTGTTAGTAACCACAGCCAGGGAATGATTACTT